TTGTAAAAGGAAATTAAAAACGAAAAGCAAATTTCGGCTGACTGGGAACCAATTTAATATTTATTATCTAATTGCACAACCAAAGGATTACGCATGTCGTCACTCCCCCAGACTGTTAATATCATGTAATTATAACACTGAAATGTGTCTTTTCCCATTTTATCCTAATCCCTTCACTCACACTTTTATGGATAAAATGTCAACAGTTGAAGGGATGAACTTTTACAGGTTGATTTTGAAATGACTCCTCAAGCTTTGACAGTGGAGCCCGTCACATTAATCTGCTGTTCATCTAAAAACAAAGGCCATGAGATTCAATTTGGTAGAAACACTCCTTATGTCTGGGTAAGCAGCTTTCAGTCAGTAACTGACAAGCATGTGTGCAAACAATGATTAGCTCCAGCCACAAATACCTTCCATAAACCCAGAGGTATAGTTTGCTTTGGGATTGGCTGATAACAGAAAAAAACAAGGAGTGTCTCTTTGTGTGTATACAATAAAATCAAATAATCTCATCCTCTGGATTTGAATTAATTGGGAGCATGTGAATGGATGCTGTGAAATAGGATTTGGCTCTCACTGCAGGGTGATTATGGAAAGTAGTTTGTACTTACACTTCATCTTTCTGTCAATATGTAAATCCCCGGCTACGGTAAGAAAAAAAACGAACAATGCCTCTGAGGCTTAAACTTCAGAGAATTGACAAATGAGGAGAAACTGACTGCAAATTGGAGACTTCAAAGAACATGTTACTCTTTAGAACTAATTATCAAAACCTTGTGTAACATTTAGTTGAGTCAGTTTCAAGAAGTTTTTCCCTTTAAAAAGCTGAAATCTCAACAGCCTGTTGCTGAACTTGTGAATTCCATCTCAGTGGAGCGTCACACACTCTAAACTGGTAGTGAATGCCAGACATTTCATTGATGTAGCAGTCACTGGCAGAGGTGCGTCTCTAACAAGTGATTATTATCAATATATAGCGGAATATGAAGATAAATTCATTTGTGGATGCATATAGACATGTGAGTGTCTGACTTGTTCCTAAGCAACAGTAGACCTGTGAGCCCAGTGACAGATGGTTGGTGAAGTTATTTTGGTTTAGTGGAGAAGGAGGGAGGGAGGGATGAGGTGCCTGGACGGAGGAGAGGGAGAGGGGGGGGGGGTACGTTTCCACTTAACATGAGGGAATTGGCAGCCTAGCAACACAAACTAAGTGAAGACATCCCTAGCAACAAGGAGGAGGCATTTGACCCCACCCACCTCCCCTCTGCCCTTCATCATCATCATCATCATCCTCAACCCTTAGTGTACAGACTAACAGACAAGGTCCCTCTCTTCAATTAACAGATTATCTAATCAAGGCAGACACAGGGTAACGAGGAGTGTGTGTGTGTGTGTGTGTGTGTGTGTGTGTGTGTGAGTGTGTGTGTGTGTGTGTGAGTGGAAAATAGTGTGAGTGCACAGTTAAAGTGAGTCTGTATCACAAAAAAGAGCCTTTAGGTATTCATTTTGAATAAATAAAGTTCTGCACGATGCGGAGGAAAGGGTTAGAGAACATGTTGTGTCCTTGAGGGTTTTGCCATGGTTCGGACTCTTAATCACGTAGATGTAAACACAGTCAACAATTACACATGGATGCAGTTTGCAGGGATGCGATGCCACAGCAGAGAGATGCTTCACATCAAGCCACAACTAAGCACACACCAGTCATTAAAGTGATTTTAAGGAGGTAATGGCTTCATTGCTTCGATTTGCAGGGGGATATAGATATTTAGTGTTAGACTTCCTTAGAGTCTGTACCTGCAGCTCGTCTGTTTGACCGGCTGGAGCAAATGAGTTTGAGATACAGATTACAGACTAACTGAAGAACGCTCCGCTCTGAGTACAGACATCTCATGCACTCAGCCACTATCCATTAACTTCAATTCCATTGAGACTCATACATCTCCACAGTGGAAAGCAGGACACAATGATCTGTACTTTATCTCCTTCATTTTCTGCTTCAATCAGTTTGTTTTCTTTGTGCCTTCTCCTTCTGTCTTTCCTTCTTTCCTATATTTCACAGCAGGCTTCATTAGACTTGTCATAGTTCTAAAGGCTGGATCAACCGTACTGACAAAAAAATACGAAGAAAAGAAATTGCCCCTGTTGCCCTCTTTCCATTTCTCCATCCCTTGTGTGTTCTCAGTTTATTTATATATTTTTAGTCTCTCCGCACATAAGCCGCCATTCCCCTGAGAGAATTTAAACTGCAGATCCGTAGAGGGAGCGGGGGGGGGCAGAGCCAGGCACAAAGCATCACAGCACAAACACACATTGTCCATTAATATCAATGACACTGACTCCAGGGCACATTTCATAAGCCAGCGAACCCTTCACCTGAGAAAAACTCATATCTACCTATACGACCCCTCCACCCATCAAAGCAGGAAAGGGGGAAACCACCCTGATTTTGTCTGAGTTTATTATGATATTCGCTCTCTGCACAAGTCAGGACTCCTACATCCCCCCTACATCCTCCACCCCTCCCCTTTGCGCTACTTGTTTGGTCTTAATTGGCTGCCTTCTGACCCAGTCTCTGCCTTTTTATATAGGACCACTTGTGCTATGCTCTTCCCAAAATGCCATTCATCTGTGGGGGTGGTCGACGCAGGAGTATTTGGAACCAATAGATCCCAATCAGTCAATACTGGAGAGAGGGTTTTATTGCCCACAGTGTATTACCTGCACCATCCGCCCACACTGAGAGCTTAATGCCAGCAGAACAGTTGACTATTATAGCTTTTCTACTTATTTCTGTCATTTCTCCTAGCCGCAATTCTTGGACACGGGGTGGCAGTAACTTAGCAACCATCTTGAGAATAAGATCAGGGCAAATGGATAAAGATTCAATAAATGGCCAAGTGCAGCGATAAGAATCATTGTGTGCTGCTATACGAGCCTCACCACAAACACACACACACCAGCACCACACACACTTCCCAAAAGTTCATTTCTGTGGAGCCATCTGAGATTTTATCCCATTTTCTGCCTCATTTTCTTTTTGTCCCTCCACCCTCCTTCTGCGTTAGTAGCTGCTCTATCATTCATCGAAACAGGAAGAGGTTTTCTGTTGCAGACACTTATCAGATTCATACATTTAGTGAAGCTTGAACCTGAGACTGTCCTTTTAGACCCTGTAGAGTCACCAAACGACTGATGCTAATAATAATTAACCTTATTTATATGGTACCTTTAAAAACAGAATTTATAAAGTGCTTTGACAGTAAAGCAAAAGGCAAATACAAGAGAAATAATCAGCAGGAAGCAATGTGACAGGAAGGCTCAGACATCATCGTAATAAACTATACAAACATATACAAACTTGACATAGGCAGTAGAGGGACGATAAAAATAATTAAATACATAAAATAAAGGCGATAAGAAAAGGCAACATCATGAAAGCAAGTCTATAAGAGTGGGTTTTAAGAAGTCACTGACTCTGAGTCTTATCTCCTCAGGAATGTTGCTCCAAAGCCGAGGGACCCTGATCACAATGATCTTCTCATGATGAGCACTTCTAATGTAAATATCCTATCGTAATAAATGTTTTTCCCCACTAGGGGTCCTTCTATCACAACTCCACAGTGTAGCATTCTTTAAGTTTCTGTGGTGACTCATTTATTTGTATGTAGAGTTTCATGGTAGATTTTCTAGTGACATGATTTGAAACCTTTCTCAACTGTTATGTTGTTCTGTTGTCAGCCCAGCAGAGGACAGGATGTCATGCATTTTATATTCAACAGGCTGTAAGTGGACTTTGGACTACTTTTCCTGAATGCTGGTTTATCTGTAACTTGATTGTAAAGCAAAAGCACAGAGATATCTCACCAAACACCTCAGCACAGTGTGCATGTGCCCAAAAATACTGCTCATCTGCCACAGGAAGTTAAACATTTGCCCTAACACTACAGACCTATGTCCACGCTAATTCTCATAGGTTCACATTCATGACAAAATACTAAGTATCCATTCGTTTTTTCCACAACACAAATCACTGTGGAACCAAACTGTATCTAAAGATGTACGACAGGCCAACTCTTCAAAAGTGGCATAATCGGCGGCAAGATAGTCGGACTGGTATCCAGGATATTTCGGCTTCATTTCTGGCTCGGAGGAAGTACGGTACATTACTTCGCATGATGGACAGACCATTTGAAACACAAGGTGGCATTATGAGCCATGTTCAACACTCATAAGTTTGCAGCTTAGTTTCGTTTTAATTAACAGTTCAAAAAACATATCTAAGGGTGCTGTATTTCTTTAAAGAATGTTCTAAATCATCTATTTATATGCTATGAATTAATATTTTAGTCTGGTTGAGTGAATCTGCTGTCACGTGTTAAGATTCAATATTCAAGATCTTTATTGTGGTTGTGTAAGCAGAACAAGACTCGGAAGGTGTCATCCTCAAATGGTGCCTGCTTTACAAGTTTATAAAGGAAAGATGCAAAAATGTCAATATAATCAAAAAGCAATAGGGTCCTAGTCAGTCAGTGCACAGGCCCTGAAACAAGATGGATTGAAAAAATTGATAGATAGATAGATACTTTATTGATCCTGAAGGCAATATAGGAAGAAGAAGAAGTAAACACTGGTTGAGGTAAAGAGGGTGCATCACAGCAGTGAAGTGACTGTAATTAATTAAATGTGGTATGATAAACATGATAGTTATTGCACAAAAGGTGACGTTATAAATAAGATGAATACATACATATTGCACACGATGCATGTGATATTGTTGCACAGTGGAGTCTTGACGAGGAACCAGTCTTTCATTGTTTTAATCAACAGAAATAGTTTTGTTTTTTGTCAGAAATCACTAAAAAAGCTCATCATCCTACCACGGAGAGACGAGTCTCAGCCTGTTCCTGCCTCTGCTCCCCGGCAGACTGAGAGCTCAGAGGGGCTGGTGTGTGAGGCAGAGCCGCAGCTATGACCCAACACGAGTTTCGTCAAGTCCAGGAAAGAATGAGGAAAAGCGCAGAACGAGCTCACAGGGAGCTCACAGGCGACTCATGTCTGCTCTGCTCCGTTACTCCTCCACCATGGGAACTTTGACTCTGCGTCCACTGCTGCTGCTTCTCCTGCTCTCATCCGCTGCGGAGGTTTTCAGTAAGATGTTTTTGTAGTAGTATTATTATTCTGACGAGGATTTTCTTTAAAGGGACAAAAAAACTACTTTCACCTGCTCAGTCGGACCGAGGGTGTTTTCCCCCGACTTGTTGTTGTATGGTAACTTTGAAGGTAACAGTGTATTTACTGCTGATCGTGGTTTTTATTTTGTTCTCAAACAAAAGTCCCTGTTAGTTGAACTGTTTGGTTGTAAATCGCTTCATGGAGCTGTCACCACCTTTTCCTTATATGGTCAGGTTGTGAAAATGTCCAGGAAGAGTTCCTCCACAGGAAACTCTATATCTTCTATTCTAATGATCACTTTAAACTCAGAATGCACATATATGTATTCAGTGGATGGTTTCATGTGAATTGTGATTTGTTCTCAATTATGTCAAAACCTAACTGCAGAAATAAAACACGGTGTTTCACATTATCAATAATATATCACAAGTCATATATACATATACACAGACATCTTATACACACTCTGTGGAGCTGTCAGCTCAGTCTTATAGATCATCATCCAGGCAGGTTTACTTCAGGGGCCCTTGATAGTGTAACTGATTTGATCGCTTGTATGATTTATGGTAGCAATCCAAGCGTTATTATGTTTATTTTAATACATTTATTCTGTCTATTTTGTAAACATAAATTAGCAGTAGTGACTGTGTGTTTTACTCTAGTGAGCCACACCCATAGGCCATGGACAAAGGGTTTGGATTAAACGTGTGTTGACTTACATCAAATGAAGATTTTGATGTGTTTACTTGTCACTTTTAAAGCTTCAGTGCAGTAGGAGAGTATAAGTGCTGAATCTGTTTAATAACACAACCTATGGCAGATCAGGTAAAGAACTGCACCACAAAGTCCTAAAGGTTTGGGTGTTAGGCAATAGGAGAGAGAGGAGGTGCTTTTAGAAAACACGAGTCTTCAAAGAACATGGAGACAATTTAAAGAAATCTATTTAACTATGAGAAAGCACGGCTAAAACAATTTAAAGCTAAATAGAGATCAAAAAGAGCAGAGTAAAAGAGGCAGATCTGAATAAAAAACAAGTTGAAGGAGTAAAATAATACAGATAAAATAGAAAATGATAAAATGGAAAATGATAAAAAAATGAAATATAATACAATGAAATGTATGGCTTTAGATTTTGTAGTTAAAGGCAATATGTGTATATACAACTTGAAAAACAATAGGGGAACCAAAAATGGTTAAATAAGTTTTGGAGAGCATAAGGAGCATTAGCGCTATTACTGTAAAGAGTGAGCTGCACTGTGACTTCATCAAACACTCCCTCGTGTGACCACATGCAATCACAGTGGTGTCAGTGTTGAAGGAAGTTGGCAGAGTTTCGTAAAGGTGCTGGTCAGTGTTGTCACAATTCTAAAGAAATGTTTGTGTTGACGGGCATGATCATCCCCAGGCTCCAACATCTGCACGTCACGAGGAGTCACCACTTGTCAGGAGTGCTTGGCTGTTCACCCCAGCTGTGCATGGTGCTTCCAGGAGGTACGAGCACCACACACACAGGCACACACACACACAGACACACACAAACACACACACACAAACAGCATCCAGTAGCTTCTCCCATTCATCGATCATCACAGCAAGGTGTGACAGAAACCTAATTTCCCAGTGGCAGCATTCCTTCTCTTGTCATCCTCTGTAGATTGTTCATGCTGATTCTTCAACATGTTTATAATACTGCTTCGTAATGAGTCATCATGGGGCCTCTATACTCAGGAGATACCTAAACCTGCTGTTGGGTAGAAAAACACCGAACCTAAAAAGACCTTTATTTCCTTTCTTTAATGCAATGTTGCTTCACCAACTCGTCAATGCCTTGAGTGCTGAATCGATCGGATGTGGGTTGTTTTTTTCAAGGGGTTTGGAAGGGGGGGATCCAGTTTGTCTCGCTGCGACCTGAAGGAGAATCTGGTGGATGGAGGTTGCAGTGAAGCATCTCTGGAGTTTCCCTCCAGCAAACTTTCCATTGAGAAGGATGTACCGCTCAGCAACAAGGCCTCGGGTACAGCTGATGATGTCACTCAGATACGACCTCAGAAACTTCACGTTGTACTAAGACCAGGTAAGTTTACACATATCATCAATGGGGCCATTACTATCACTGTTTGATCCTCTGTCACTTATCTCCTGTCTGTAACTTCTTCTCTCTCAGGCGATTCCAAGCGTTTCACTATGTCAGTGAAACAGGTGGAGGATTACCCAGTGGACCTCTACTATCTCATGGATCTTTCATTTTCAATGAAGGATGATTTGGCCCGCCTTCGCACGCTGGGCAATGAGCTAGCCGAGACCATGGGAAAGACGACAAGCAACCTACGCATGGGTTTTGGAGCCTTTGTGGACAAAACCATATCCCCTTACATGTACACTTATCCTCCGAGCGCGGTTGAGAACCCTTGCTATGGGTAGGTGGGGAGGTTTCGAGGAGGAAAGGGAACTTCAGTGGAGATTTACAGATTTTCTGAGCAACAACAATTTAAAATTCATGATATTTCCTCTCAATATATACAGAATTGGTGAAACTTGCCAGGCTCAGTTCGGGTTCAAGCATGTACTGGCACTGACGGATAAGGTTGCACGCTTCACTGAGGAGGTGGAGAAGCAGCGGGTATCTAGAAATAGAGATGCTCCAGAGGGTGGATTTGATGCCATCATGCAGGCTGTGGTGTGCAAGGTATGAAAATTGTAATTTTTAAAGAGATAAAAAAAAACTAAAAACAACCACATGCTCAACGATGTGCAGCACTGAGTGTTTACTTTACTCTTTTCTTCCTCCATCATCATTAGGACAAAATCGGCTGGCGTCCGGATGCCTCACACCTACTGGTTTTCACCACTGATGCCAAAACTCACATTGCACTGGATGGGCGTATAGCTGGCATAGTCCGACCCAACGATGGAAAGTGTCATCTAGATAATGACAACATTTATAACCAATCTACTGTGCTGGTAAAGGCAGAAATTTAAGTTATTTCAGAAATTCACAGTGGTTTTCAATAATTATTTCAGTGGTTGGACAGATTAGTTGTGTCCCATGTCTTGCAGGACTATCCCTCCTTGGCGCTCATGACTGAGAAAATGTCTGAAAACAACATCAATTTAATATTTGCTGTAACCAGCATTGTGGAGCCACTCTACAAGGTAAACCAACTGTTCTTCTTGTGCCACAGCATGAGTTCATTTTAGCTTTTCCCATGAAAAACACAAAAACCTGTGTTGTTCTTACAGGAGTACAGTAAGCTCATCCCAGGCACAACAGTGGGATTGCTGTCCGATGACTCTGGGAATGTTATTGAGCTCATTCGGAGTGCTTATGCGGTAAGGAGAGCATGAGAATTGATGTCTGTTAGTTCGTTTGTATCATTAAACTAACTACATAAAGTGTGATTGGTGACTTTATGTTGTGCAGAAAATTCGCTCTAGTGTGCAACTGGAGGTGGTGGGAGCCCCAGAGGAGTTGCAACTCTCCTTCAATGCCACTTGCCTCGATGGAGAGATTACTGTTGGACTCAAGTCCTGTTCTGGCGTCAACATTGGAGACACTGTATGTATCTGCTGATTAATGTCCCATTAATGTCTTTTATCTGCACACAGCTATGCACTGAGATATGTCCTCCTCTCCAGGTGTCATTCAGCGTGGAGGCTAAGGTGCATGGCTGCCCTAAGGAGAAGAGCAGCACTTTTACCATAAAACCCCTCGGCTTCAAGGATGCCCTAGAGGTCCAGGTGGATTTTGCTTGCGGTTGCAAATGTGAGGCAGATGCAGAAGCCGACAGCCCACTCTGCAGCAACGGTAACGGCACCTACGAGTGTGGCGTATGCCAGTGTCACTCGGGTCGTCTGGGCCCTTCCTGCGAGTGCTCGGTGGAGGACTACAATCAATCGAATGAATCTAACTGCATCCCAAAGTCCGGCAGCCTAATCTGCAGTGGGAGAGGGGACTGCTTGTGTGGACAGTGCTCATGCCACGCAAATGAGTTTGGCCAGGTGTGGGGGAAGGACTGCGAGTGTGACGACTTCAACTGCTTGCGCTTTAAAGGGGCACTTTGCTCCGGTGAGTAGATGCATTTCTTTCTGTCAAGATCGCTGGTAGTTTTCTCTGCAGTTTTGCAAACATCAATGTTGTCTCATGGATCTGAACATAAAACAGGTTGCAATGGTTGGCAATCAATGTCCACTCCGTTAGAATTCTGCTTCATCGTGCTTTATCATAGTGAGGGCCGGCCCTCTTCTTTTGTATACACATATAACTTATTCATGGGAGGTCTATTTGTTTAAATCATTGTCTTAATCATCATACATCATAAATCAGGCCTGACTCACCCACAACTTCTAACAAACAAAAGTGCTATATTAAAAAATAAATAATGCGTCAATAGATATTCTTTATCTTGTAAATATGACTTTAATTAACATTATCATTTCCAGTGTCCCACCCACAAATTGGCCTGTGTCTGGGGGGCCCTGAGTTACATAATGTTATCATTGCTACTTTAGGATCAAACAATCGTGATGATTCTCGCTTCTGGCACTACCATACAAGAATCTCAGGAGCGAGCATTACATTAGCAACACTAATACAGCAGATGATGTATGAGTTCAGGGGGGGCCCTGGTGGCTGTGGGGCCTTAAGCAGCCGCTGAGTTGGTTTGTAGGAAGGGCTGGCTCTTGATAAAGTGGCGAAATAATGAAAAAGAAAAAAGACCAACATGTAATGACGTCACACTGGTCTTCCTCTGGGTCAAATATTTTAGAAAACAGTCAGAAAGTCGCCCTTCCCTTCCTCTTTGCTCCTCTAACAGTTCATCCAGTCTTAGTGGAACACACTGTGAATCACACCTTCGCCAGTTTACATAGTTTCCTGTTACTTAGCTTGACAAATCAGAAGTCAACATAATTATTCATTGCTTGCTTGTAAAAGACATGTAAATATTGACATAATTCAACTGCAGGGCATAAACAGTAAAGCTTATAAATGACCTGTTCTCTGTCAGGCCTGTAAACATGTAGCGCGTCCTCCATTAAAGGATAATCAGAGAAGAGCACGCCCAGTTACTGTTGCTTGAGTTTGAAGAGTTCTTACCACTCACCAGCACGGTGCTCTATCTCTCTCTGTTACAAGTCTGCACAGCTCAGCACAGTTACTCAATCACAGTGATTAAACTTGAATCACCTACGTCACTCGTAAATTTAATGTAAAAGCAGTTTGGGCTTGTGATTGCAAGGAGGGCAGTGTAGCAATATCAAAATAGGAAAACTGTCAAACTATTAAAATAACTTGACTGATCTCATTTGGACTCAAACATTTGGGGTGCTTCAAGTCTGAAAGACGTGGGTGATGAACTTGACATGACAGCACAATAATAAATATAGAGTGAAGCAGTGAAGTAAATTTTTCCCTTTCATTTTCTCCATTGATGTTTCAGAAAACCTTAAATAAAGATTTTTAAACCACGCCGACCAGCAACGAGATGAATCGTGACCATGAAACATTTGATTCAAAGCTGGAAAAAAAGAATTGGAAAATAAATAAGGCAAAGATAGGCTAGAAGCCAAAATTTGTAAGCGTGAGCAAACTACGCATTAGATTGCTAGCAATGTTTTATTCATAAAACTCTTTAACCATCACAGCCTCACAGAGCGTTCCCTGGGGGTGCACCATGACCTTACAGAGAAAATGGATGATAACATGTGATATGGAAAGCTGCATTTCTCCAGAAACATAACATATATCAACAAGGACGAGTGAGGTTGTTTTTCTGAAAGACAGGTATTGAGTCAGCGGTGAAACCCAGGGCTTGGGCACTGATCTGATCACCCACACAACAACACACCATAACTGTTGGAAGACAGTCCACAGAGCTCAATTTGTCACCACTAAGCCACTGTGTCTCAGTGCAGTCATGCCGTTGTTGTCTTTAAGCGCGAGCGTCCCTCAGCGTGAGCTCAGTTGGAGCAACAAAAACCTCTAGATCTGTGATATTCCCTGCGGCTGTGTATTTCTTCTTCTGCTGAGGGGCCCTGGGACTGGTGCAGGTACAGGGAGCTGCAGGGCCCATAAATACGAGGGCGCGGAGAGAACAGGAAAGTTTGCTTTCCTCTGCTGGCAATTTGCTCCAAACTCTTCCCTCACTAGTACGTCTCTATCTCCACCATTTCCTGTCTCTCAATCCAGCTGTGTAATGTTTTACTTTTCTGTCTCTCTCTCTGTTTCTCTTCGTTTATCATGCCCCCCCCCCCCGACGTTTACCCTCTCTAAAAGTCAAGGCATGTGACTAATGGGCAGAATTACTGTGCAGTCTGACAGAGCAGGATAATGTGAACCTAAGATAAAAACTCTCTTTTAAGTGTGTGAATCAACTTTAAAAATAATGAGAACAAATATAGAAACTCACTCTAATTAATTAAGATTATTAAAAAATAATAAAAAATCCCCCTATGTTACGATGACAAGGTCTTGTAAGGTTTTTCTACACATCTCAGCCGCTATCTTTAAGAGTGAGTAAGAGAGATTACTCAACGCAATGAAAAACATTACATGTAAGCGTGTTAATCATTAACCAGTGACACCACCACCAGTAAACATGCCTGATCCTGTCACCGCCCTGAACGAAGCTGTACCATGTTGACTCAGGGGGATTGTTTCCTTGGGGTTACATCAATGGACAACTTGTTTTGAGCCCTGGAATTACGGACCAAGAGGACCCTCTGTGATATTTCATGACCAGTCACTCCCCCAGTCTGATCCCGCTGCGTTGTGACTCATTGCTTGGCTCTTAGTCATCCAGTGCCAAATCCTGTTTGGTGTCTTGCTGAGAACACTGTAGTCTCTGGGGTTCTGCCTTTGTTTCTAATGTGATGATGTGGCGTGGCTCTGTGTAACCCAGGGAGAGAAGCATGCCTCCAGATTCTGTCAACAAATAACTCCATCGCTGTAAAACGCTTCCTACACTTACTGACCTGGCTTTTGTGCTTTCTACATTTCACTCAGGATGTGAGTGTGACCTTAATCTGTTCACACACTCACATTCTTACTTCTCTACCTTATGGGGACAAAAGGCAATTTCCCATAATGTTAATCATTAGATTTTGAGGTTAAGACATATTATAAGGTAAGGTTAAAGTTAGGGTTGGGATAAGGTTAGGTTTAGGATTAGGATTAGGCAAGAGGTCAATGGCAGGAAATCATTGTCGTGGAAAATCGTGGAATTTCCTGGAGTCATGGAGACAAGCCTGTGTGTGTGTGTGTGTGT